TGAGTATTTGTGCTATTAAATAGAAAAATGTTTATTGAAATGATTTTATGAGTGCCTAGCAGGACAGGAATTTGAGCCTTTTCAGTCTGAAGTATAAATATTACTGATTCAGAGCAAAACACACATTTCTAGAGTTGGCCCTTTCCAGAATGTTGTTTTAACTGGGTAGTTCTCCTAGGAGCTCTGGAAATGGGCTTTCTGAATGGAAAGATCTGATCATCTAGAAACGCTTTATTCTGTGCAGTTATTCTGCATCTTCACAAACACAAAAATGATGGTCGCAGACTAATGACCAGAAAGCCTTTTCCTAAAAGTTTTAGACTACAATTATTTTCAGAGCTGGCCTAATTTAGAAGCCATCTTTCCTTAGGTTTGTAATATTGGGGGAAAAAAAAAAATCACTGATAAGAGTTTGGTTTGCTGTTGCAGAAGGAATTTCTCAGATGTAACACCATTCCTTCTGCTACATTCATGCACATGGAGTTAAGCATGACTGACACTTCTGTGGAACTGTGATCTGTACGTAAGATATATAACAATTCATCGAAAGGAGGTTGTAGTGAGGCAGGGGTCGATCTCTTCTCCAGAATAACTACCGATAGGACAAGAGAAAATGGCCTCAAGTTGCACCAGGGGAGGTTCAGGTTAGACTTTAGGAAAAATTTCTACGTGGAAAGAGGGGTGAAGCATTGGAACAGGCTGCCCAGGGAAGTGGTGGAGTCACCGTCCCCAGCAGTGCTCAAGAAACGTGTAGATGAGGCGCTTGGGGACATGGTTTAGCAGACTTGGTGTCAAAGGGCTTACGGTTGTACTCAATGATCTTGAAGGTCTTTTCCAACCATAATGATTCTATGATTCTGTGATTCAAATGTTTGCCCTTCCCATGAATGTGCTCTTTACATAAACACACTATACCTACTCCTAATTTCTGATATGAGAAATACACAAACACCTTTTAAATTATATTAAGATCCCCTGTTCTCTTTAAAAATATTTTTCTTTATATTGAAAATGCTTATGATTATTTTCAGCCTGATACTATTTTGGGGGAGCATTTTTTAAGGCAGGTTTGTTAACAGCTGTAGTTATGTAAGACTTGAGAAGCAAAATAAAGTGGTTGATAAATCTTCAAACCACAGAAGATAAAACTTTGGAAAGCTCAGACTTGTTCAGCTCAGCTCAGCATCTCCCTGAACATGGTGTCTTCTTGGTGTGATAGTGAGAGAAGGGGAAGTTTCACAGATAAAGTCACATCTCTGAGGCCTTGTCTGGGCACCAGTGCAAGCCAGAGTAGACCACACAACACCCTGAACTCTACGCAACTGCCTTATGGTTCCTAAGGATCTGTTTGCCAAACATTGCACTGCCAGCCTCGGGCCCACAGCCACAGGTCTTTCCTTTCCGTATACAATGGGGACTTGAGAGAGAGAGGCACATCAGGAAACATGTTCCTCTGTACAGACCAGCAAATCTCCCTTAAATAGACAGTTCTCCACAGCTGTTTACATTAAGGTTATATAAGGACTTGTTTATTTACTGTCTAGAAACTTGCGGTTAGAAAAAACATTTCAACTGATACTACTTTGATGCAAGGGAATAAGATCTAAATATTTAATTTGATCCCCTTGACTCATTCTTCTGTATATTTATTTATACTTCTTCCAGCCCCTTTATGCCTATATGTAAGACAGAAGAGTGCTGCACTTCAGACTCACAGTGACAAATACTGCAGTTAGTGGTGTCAGCAGCAAAACTGACTTTGGTCAAGAAAGCTAAGTACTCTGGTGTTCCTTCTTGTGGATAAATCCTCTGCAATTCTTCATTTCCAATAAATTACACATTTTCTCCACCCATTCCCTCTTTATCAAGCCATTACTTTTAATTCTAAACTATATTTCCCATATATATTTAAACCATTGGCTTGATTTTAGCTTATTGTTTTCTTTACAAAGGTTAAGACCACACACTCTGAGCTCTGCTATCATACTGTATTATGCTACTAGTAGACGAATAGTAGACAAAACATCACATACAGTTGCAGTTGCTGTTGGAACATGCCTTTTAAAAAATAACTTTATTGGATGAAATTGTCTCCCAAGAAAAATCTGGTTATTTTAATATAATTTATTATGACTTTTAAAGTTCTGTCTGTTCAATAAAAATCTTTGCTATATTATAAATACCTGTAAAGAAAATATAATTTAAAATTCTGAAAGAAAACATTTTTTTCCTTTTACATTTTTCACAAAACCCACACAGATACCAGGAAAGAGGTAACAATAAAAATAATTTACTCCTGTACAATCTCCTCTGGGTTGGAAACATTCAAAAGAGAGACTTTAAAGTTATCCTCTGATGAAATTTTGGCTACAACATGGGAACTGAGCTTAAAACAAAGTAGGGCCCTATGTTTTCCCCCTGTTTAATCTGAGTGGTCCTTTCAAGGAGTGATTGCTAGTACTTTCCTCACCTTATCATACCTGATTGATGACTGGCTAAAATTGCTGTTCTCTGAGGGAAGCAGCCTCTAAGCTTCATTGCACAGAAGTAAAGCTCATCCTAACACATTGTATAGGAATATTTTTGTAGAGATTAACTCCCAATTCTGAAAATTAAACATCAGTGGAAATATGTTAGTGCTCTCAACGTCCAATAGCAGCTATTAGAAATTTTAACATTTTGCTTGTTCAGTAGTTACAAATCGCCATAAGAAAGCTTCTGATTTGGACGACTTCTGTATTTTTTATCACTTCTTCTTCTAAGCAAATTGCTTAGTACAGAAGGAGTGATTTAGTCTAAGAGACATCCAATCTCAGAGTTGCTATTTTTGAAGTATGATAACATGGAGTAGAAATAAAGAATTCTTCAAATCGGCTAAGCTAAATTTACCCAAAGCTGGCAAAAATGCAGAGTGAGCTCAAGATTGGCACTAGAACGAATGAATAAGTAGAGATTTTCAAATCTTAAATTTGGCAAGACAAGTTTTAAAGTTGTCTTTAAGCAGTCCTGTTTATCTATAAGATAAGATTTAAGTACTGTCTTAAATTACAAGATCTAGCGTGAATTTTGAGAAATCACTGTTCAAAGTGATGATTTATCAGCAAAATGTTAAACTCCCGTTTTACAAACACTTTAATCACTTAAAGAGATAGACAGTGAAAGACAACAAGTATTTCTTGAATGTTTGGAAAATATATTTCAATAGATAGACATGAGAAACAAACAGGGAGAAAAAGAAGTAAAAACCTAGTCAGTATTTATTCCTATTATCTTTAGCACTATAATTATGTACTGTGTTTTTTCTTCCATTAGGATCTTTATTTCCTTGATCTAGATACCCTCCAAATTCTGACTGTCCAGTATTATACTACTTTTTCATTATGAACAACAAAATAATAAGCCAATATTTACTTTGACTTTAGAGAGGCATGTGTGAAAAACTATTTTTCTAACAAACACTTCCAGTCATATCATTCTACTCCAGCTTTCATTTTTTTTCACCTGCGATAAGGTGATAGATCTTCCTTACTGGGCTTCTTCTCCCTCTGTTATCCCTTTTTTTCTTGCTACAGGATTTTCCCCACATTTCTCACTACTCTCTTTTCTTCAACTATTTCCTCCTCCTATTTTTTCTTTCCTACAAGTGCTACTATCAGGGAGAAGCCTGCCCATGCTGCTCCCTCAGAGCTACTTTTATTTCCTTCTCTTTTACCTCTTCCTTTGTCCTCCACATCCCATGCAGTCTTTCCTTCTATTGATTAGTTTTTCTTGATATTTCTATCTCAACCTTCCCCCATCCATTTTCCTTAACTTGCTAAATATTTAGGAAACATTACAATCCACCACAGACATTCCCACAGCCAGTCTTTAAGTGGCCTTTGCAGAAATAGTTCCCCTTTCCATACCACTTTGGCCACAGATCAAGGAAAAGACAGGTTCGTTGTCTTGACTGCTGAGGATGCAGACATCTCAGGAGATTTTTATATTACTTAACTTTAGAAACCTAACTAACTGAGGTTCCATAGGTAAAAGGTTGGTCCCCCAAAACTCCTATAGTAAAAAATGAAATAAAATAGATGGGTACTCCATCAGGTAATTCAGGACCAGTGTAAAAACTAGCCAAGTGCTTTGAAATGCTACTTATAGGAGCCTCTGTCTTCATTAACTATATATAGCCTACAAAGACGAGGGTTACAATTCAGGCACTTTAGTTAAAATCAGGTGGCAAGAACGCTATCCCATGGTCTGGCATGCCTCATTCGGGGCTCCTTTATTTTAGTATGTATCTGCCTGTAGCATACGTCAGAAATAACTTCATTACTGTGTGCTTAGAATAAAGCTTCTTGCCAATCATGGATAGTAAATGAGTGGTTGGCATTTTCCTACAATGCTCCAACCCAACTCCAGCTTTACAGTTGCTCCTTTCCTAGAGAACAGAAGGTTGCATTGTTTGGAAAAGGGACAAAAAAAAAAAAAAACTGTGACAGAAGCAGTACTGGTTGCCAGTCTTAAATCCTGAATAAATGCCAAGTATAAAAAAGACTGCAATATTTATTGCAAATCCAGGGATGAGAGTATCTCCCTATAGCTTTGGCTGTTCAGTTCAAAACTGCTTGGTAATTCGGGTTTTGAATCTTACTGCATGCTAAGGGAATAGGATGGAAGAATAAGTAACATGAAAATTGTTTAAAATAGAGCATTAGTTTTTTTGGGTTTTGATTTTTTCCCCCGGGAGAATACTGTTGTGTATGCCCCTGAGGGGGCAAGTCTACTCTGATGGCAATGAATAAAGGCTTTGAAGAAAGCTATTACTAAAAAGCATCAGTTTACTGCCTTATCCTCCCACACCTATTTTTGTCCTCTTCCTGATATTCATGTTAAATATGAAGCAATCAAATCAGCAATCACACAACTAGAGCATACAATAGACTTCTGAAAAAAAACTGTGGAGGTGGGGTGGGGGGCATGAATATTTCCAACTCAGCGCCATACACTATAGTTTAGTTTCCTTCATTCAAAATATCAACCAAGGCCTGCAGCAGTCTGTCATCTCTATGCTTGTATGGTTTGACGTTGTAAAAAAGATCAACGTAGTCACTGTACAAACTTTCTTCTGAGTCTTTTAGCTGGAAAGGCCTGTTTAACTTTTCGAGGGCTTGGTAGAACTGTTCGCATGGAATATTTAACTTCTCATTTGCAGTCTTCTCGGGCAGGCGCTTCTGAGCCATCTGCCTGCTAAAAGCACTTTGCAACAGGTGCAGCATGGCCTCGGATGGAATTTTATCTTCTGCTTTGGCACTGCTACTACTGCTGCCTTCTGTGACTTTGGGATTTTCGCTCAGGTAGTCCGCTGTGGTATGATCCTAAAATACAGAATAGTATAAAGAAGGTTAGGCATCAATGAAAAATCGACTAGAGTCATATTTACTCTAAATAGCAATTTTTGTGTGTGTGTGCAAATAGATGCTACTTTTTTTTAACCTGGGGCTACTAGCATCTAGAAAAGAATTAGATCATTATATAACAAAACTGACTATCATCGAAAGCACTACAGATACAGTTAACTGAATCCCTCTGAATCAGGGAATCCCTGACTTCTGTGCTGCCATTAGTTACAAATTTTATTCCAAACTTCCAGCAAGCAGGTTCCTTTGGGGTCTGAGACTTGTTTTCATTGGAATTATGATAAATGCTGTGTATCTGTCAGAGGAATAATCTTCCTTCATTGTACAACTCAGCTGTATTAGATATTGAGTTGACAGCTGTAGTGTCAATAGCCTCTTAACATCTTAAAGCCTTAGATGTCAGTGTATGAAAACAGAGTCGAAAGAAAATATCAGTTGTTGAAATGGACATAATCACGGTGCTCACACAACTTACATGTGGTTAAGGGGTGGAGGAAGGGAATACAGAATGAATGAGTGTCCTCTCACATATTCTTATAATTTGAAAAATAGATAAGGAAGTAAATTAGTTTGACACTACCTCTACAAGGTCTGTCATCTTCTCCACTCCCCTTCTGTCATTTTGCACAGCATTGTAGGATGCGTACACACGTGGCTGCTTCATGTGTTCAGGCTGGGTAGATGTGCCATGCAAAATCAGTTTCCAATTTACAATCCTCCCTTCATTTTGTATTCTTCTGGACTAAAAGGCAAGCATGGCATTAGCATAGGTTTTCAGGAAGTAAGAAGATGAAACAGAAGATACTTGACCTAAAGTTAGACAGAAGACACTAAAATAAACTATAGGGCTTTCAGTATTCAAAATTAGACAATGACTTATAAGCACCAAAGGTCATTATAAACAGAATATGTCAGAATGTGGAATTTAACACAAAGTCTTGACTATTACAAATACTCATATTCTAATGCAACATAATTATATATGAATCATATAAGCATTAAAGGAATTTCATAACATAGAATGCCAAAAATTACTGAACTCTTATTCTGTGTTATTAGGGTTTGTTCACCAAGCCAGTCTCTGGCAATGTTGCCACAACAGTTGCCACTGAAACAGTCATTTGCAATAATATTCCATAGTGGTTGATGTACAGCAGTAGTCTGAAACACAGCTTGCGAAGCACCAAATGCTTTATCCATTATTTTTGATGACAATATTTAAAACTGGAAACTTGAAAGTAGTAGAGACAAGTATGGAGAATGCTGAGAATTGTCTTCATCAAAGCTTCTTTTTATAACTTTTTGCTCAGACAATAGTTACTTGAGATGATAGCTGCTAAAGCTCTTAATTTCTGATAAATCTTCCACTTAATTTTACATGTATTTATTCTAGCATTCAGGACCTTCTCTCACTTGAAAATGGAATAAAACAATCTTCTTAATGGCATTCCAAAAAATGCGTTATAGGAGTTACAAAGAACAGGATATCTGTAACCATGGGGTTAGCTATAAGCCCACAGTATTAACTCTACAATGTTGATAATAATATTTACTTCTACTGCCTTGCCCATCTGTTCTGTACTTGGCATTATCCTGCTGTTTACAAGTTGAGGCCAAAAGGGATTGGAGGCTCAGTGTCTGATAGGAAACACTCGGTTTTTGGCAGGATCTGACCCCTAATGACAAGCTTATTAACAGACAACTTGAAACTCTCCAAAGTTGAATGAGCTTGATCAATCTCTCCTTGAAGAGGATGATTTTTCAATTGCCTATCAGACAGCTTTTTTTGGTGGCGCACTGTTGTAATCCATATCCCCAGGTAGTTTGAGCAAACATATTTATTTTATATATGTAGATTTCTTGGATTTCATCATTAAAGTTTTTTCAGCAATAATTATGACAGTAATTATACTGAAAAGAAGTTAGGGACAGATATATGGCAGAACAGCTCTATAAAGTCACCTGAAATTCATTAATTCAGAGGTTCCAAGTTAATGAAAATTATGAATAACTACCAAGAGGAGACTAGATCTATCCCATGCTCTTTTCTGCAGGAAAAACTAATTTGTAATGAATCATATATAATTTGTATTATATATTATACACTCCATAAATCACAGAAAATTATATGAAGTGATTTCTCTCAGTATAATATGATGTTTCATGAACTTTCATTGATAGGTATACATCTATGAAATGAGGCTGGTTTTGTGTTTATATAATGAACAAGAAAATCTGACCTTATCTTTTTTGTGTGTGTTTCAGAGGAGCCAGTCTAATCTTTCAACCAGATGGATATGTACCTTAAACAAAGTCTAAACAAAGTCCTGTGGGAGTCTGCTCACTGAGAAGACCCTCTCTTCAAGATGTTTGACAGTGGCTATCAATCGTTTTATCTGTGTTAGTTGCCGAATACCTTACTATTTAACATATAGATTTACTTACCACATCAGTAATTCTTAATACCCAGGTGCCTGTTGGATTCTCTCCCCATGTGTGAACAGACATGAAGTCCCAGTTCTTAAAGCCATTAGGAGACTTATCTCTCTCTCTCTCTGACAGTAAGACAGTGCTGGTTCCTGTATTAGTACAATAAATCAATAGAAGTAATTGTTCACCCACATCTGGTTTGATTTTTCAAATTACTCAGCTGGCAGGCCATACAGTGCATGCATAGCTAACCTGGAAAATATAGTATTTAACACGGGCTTGTGGAATGGGAAATATGCCATTTCTGATCACTGATTAATTCTTTTTAAAGCAATATTTAAGAGCACAAAAAATGTCATATTAGGTCACATTAGAAAGGTACACCTTGCTTAGTGTTCAGTTTCTAAAAGGAATCAGCAGTATATGCTCATAGAAAAAAAGAGCCTAAGAAACATATCATACATGGCCAGTCTTTCTCCAGCAATAAGCAGTTCAGAGAATTTTTGACCTGGAAGTTTCTAAAACAAACCAGCATTTTAAAGAGACACTGATAGATACATTTGTCTAATTTGGTTGCTGCATTTTTATGATTTAATTGTAAATTCAACAGCATCCTGTGACACTGAGTCTTGCGATTTAACTTGCTAACCTAGATTACTGCCTGGAATGTGTGGAAGGGGAGTATCACACCTTTAAGAAACAGATGTGGTAGCAGAGAGGAAAATACTCCAACAAATGAAAATTGTACGAATTAACCTATTTTTATGAAATGCCTGAGCCAAAATAATGTTTGTGCTCATCAAAAGGAAGAAGCAGGAAGCAGCAAGGAAATGAGAGCATGTACGGGGGAGTGAGTGAAGGCAAAGGTAAGGCAATTTAGGAAGGGGAAGTGGGACATCTCCTTTCAGTAGCAGTGAGTTAATTCATCTCACACAGTATTATGAAATCAAAGGGTTATATAGAACTCATCATTTTAACTTTTTTGGTGAGTGAATGTAAGTAAGTGATTACATCCTGAAACACTAACACAGG